GGCGCGACGGCTTACGGGATAGCCGTTCGCCCCCAAATTAGCGGCCCGGCGTGAAACCGATGGTCACGCCGCAAATCCCGCCGGGACGTCGAGGCGCCGCGTCCGTCAGTTGAACTCGAGGAGGAGGAGGAGCCGCGTTTGATGTTTGCGGTCCGTCCTCCAGAAAGGGGCGGGCTACCACCTGGATCTGTTCTGGGTGGCCGTGCTGATGGTGGTGTGCTCCTTCATGGGCCTGCCGTGGTACGTGGCCGCCACCGTCATCTCCATCGCTCACATCGACAGCTTGAAGATGGAAACGGAAACGTCGGCGCCCGGCGAGCAGCCCAAGTTCTTGGGAGTCAGGTGGGCTTCCGACCGCCCGCGCTCATTTCACGCGGTATCGTCCCGATGGTTTCACCTCCCGGTCGCTCCAAAACGAGGCGCCGGCAAGGCCAAAAGGCCACTTGTGGTGGCGGCCACTTGTGGCGTCCCTCCGCGAGTGGGCCAGCCGCGCTTGATTGACAAAGCCGACTCGTGAGGTGTTGGGCGAGCGCCTCCTGGACACTTTCGCTCCCTTTGGACTCTCGGACTTGTTCAAATCAACACCGATCGGTGACGATTTTGGACGCGCGTTCAAAGTTGTTTTTGGCGTCACCGGTGACTTTGCGCCTGGACTGCGCGCGCGCGTGTGGCGTGGTTGCAGGGAGCAGAGGGTGACGGGCGTCTGCGTGTTCATCCTCACCGGACTGTCGGTCTTCATGGCTCCCATTTTAAAGGTGAGTCCCGGCGCCGCTTTCTCCGTCCTGGGGCGGCGTTGGCCGTCGTTTGAGGCGCATTTCGTGCGTTTTCTCCGGCAGTTCATCCCCATGCCGGTGCTGTACGGCGTCTTCCTGTACATGGGGGTGGCCTCGCTCAACGGAGTTCAGGTGGACTTTGCCTCGCCGCCTCGCGTCCGTCGGGCGAGCGGGCTCAACTGGAGATCCGTCCCCTTTGTGCGCGCAGTTCATGGACCGCCTGAAGCTGCTGCTGATGCCGGCCAAGCACCAGCCCGACCTGATTTACCTGCGCCACGTGCCGCTGAGGAAGGTGCACCTGTTCACCTTCGTCCAGGCGCTCTGCTTGGCCCTGCTTTGGATCCTCAAGTCCACCGTGGCCGCCATCATTTTCCCCGTCATGGTGAGAGTCGCGGCCGCTCAAACGCATTTCCCGTTCACCGCCTTTTTTTTTTTTTTTTTGTTGGTCACCGCCCACAGAGCTGTCTGCCTTCCCCCGCAAACGTGCGCGTGTTAGTCAGTGAAGGGGCAAAACCGCAAGAGTTGGATTTGAGGCGACAGTTGTGAACGAGCGTTGACTTGGGAACAGGAGTCCCCCTCCCCACCTCTTTTTTTTTTTGCCAGCTGATTGGGACGCTGTCGCCCTGTTTGTAGATCCTGGCGCTGGTGGCCGTGAGGAAAGCCATGGACTACGTGTTCTCGCAGCACGACTTGAGCTTCCTGGACGACGTCATCCCCGAGAAGGACAAGAAGAAGAAGGAGGACGAGAAGAAGAAGAAGAAGCACAACGCTGACGACAGCGACGCCGATGACGTAAGTGCGCCGAGGTCTTGCCGTTGGACAAAATCTCCAGGCCGCTGCCGAGTCCACAAATTTGGAATCCAAAATGGCGGACTTGCGCTGTCTTTTCAGGCCTGGATTCTGGCGACGTTTTTTTTTTTTTTTTAACCCACCTTTGACTTGCCTCATCAAGCCGGCCGGCTTTGGGGGTCGAGTTTCCCGACGCGTGGCCCGTCCTCGAACTTCCCCATCAAGCTCTGCCTAAAAAGCACAATGAGTCAATGACTCCGAACAAAAACGTCAGTCGGTGGAGTCAAAGCGATTCCGGGGGCCGAATCCCACAATCTATTCGGGGGCCGGCCGCCAAGCCAAACGGCGGCGAATCCTTTCAAATCAAAGCGCGGGACTTCCCGCGTCCTTTCCGGCACGGGCGCTTCAGAGTTTCCGAGGTGGACCGTCGGGGCGGCCATCTCGGGGTGCGTGCGCGCCAAATCCACTGCGGGCGTCCCCTTCATTCGCTGGCGTTTGACGGCGGGACTTCCCGGCCGTGCGGCGACTTCACGCGGTGATGGTTCGCGTCTCTCAACATCAGCAAGGGGAGGCTTTCGAGGTTTCCTTTTGGAACAGTCATGAACCTCCTTCGTGGCAAAAGGTAACAAGCGGTCTGCAAAAAGCCAATCATTGAGTACCGCGACGTAGCCGTCCGTTTTGGGGGTCTTGTATGGAAAAACAAACCCAAATGTGAAGAAGACTAACAACCTCCGATTTGAATCGGATCAATGAGCGCCGGATGGCGAGAGCGGCTCGGAGCGGATCCCGCGGCGATGAGCGAGCCCCGTCGTCATCCGTGACCGACGCACCGAACGTTCACGCATCGGCGCCGGGTTTATTTTGGGGCCTTGTTGTGTTCCCTTACTTGGCAGGGAAGCGTCCTTGACACATTTGACACTTGTGCTTGCAGCGCATCCTTGGTCAAAAAGCGCCTTTTCTCAGAATCCGGGTTGGGACGTTGCCAGCAAGTGTTTCCCAAAGAGTGGCAAAAGGTCGAAATTTCGCTAAGCTTCCACGCTTGTCGAGCTCGACGACTCCATTTTCTGTCGGCCGTCATCAACGAGTGGTCAAAAATGGCCGGCGGCGGCTCCCAAATTATTCGTCGCAACGCCTTCTTGGTGGGCGGCGACGGCGGGCCCCGCTACCGTCGACAAGGCCCGTGACAAGGTGCCTCCGACTTTTGGGGGCCCAAGATCTGACCTTGAGCGCGTGCGCGCGTGCTCGCGTGTGGTCTTTGACTCTGTGCGTCTCTCCAACAGTCTGACTATCCGTACAATGAGAACGTTGCCAGCATTAAAATTCCCATGGACATGCTGGAGCAGGAACCCTTCTTAGGCGCTCAGGCCTCCGACAGTGAGTAGAAGACGCCCGGCCGGCGACGCCTGCGCATGCACGCCGCTTCCTTCGCCGTCGTCGTCTTCTTCTTCTTCCACTCGCTTGCTCAACTCTTTGTTTGCGAGGCACCGCATGACGTCCGCCGTTTGGATTTTGCGCTGCGCGACACTAACAGATGTTGCTTTTGTTTTCCCTTTGAACCTTTGTGTGTCTCGACTTCTTCTGCCGTCTCCTTGTGAGTCGCCGTTTACGCTTTCTTCCGTCACGTGCGGCGGTTCACTTTCAACGACCAAAGATTAATGACGGCGATAATCGGTGCGCTTTACGATGCGCGCCGCGTTTGAAAGAAATCTCAGCGAGCTCAAAATGGGTGACCGTGTCCAAGGCTTCTTGTTTGGAGTTTTCCCACGGCGCAGCACAAACATCGGGCGCTCCCTAAATCTGAACTTTGTCTCCCCTCGGCAGCGGAGAAGTCGGCTGCCTTTCTGGAGCGACACACGTCGTGCTGAGCGGCTTCGCTACTACCCGGCCGACTGCACGTCCAGGTGAGGCGCCCCCGACCCCATCTTGTGGCACAGACGCGCGGAGGAGAAAATCAAACGGTCGTTCCGAGACATTTCTTTCAAAAGATTTCATGTACAGTCAAACATCGGTTTTCCAACGTCTCGGTTCTCCACCAAAAAGTTAGATTTTTTTCTGCCTCGGATGACGAACAAATTTCAGTTCTCGACCAAACCGAGCGCACTTGAATGCACCACTTGACGCCTTTCGCCTTCCTGACACGAGGAAGTGACGTTTCCTCGTGTCACTTTCCATTGCGAGCAGACGTGCTCAATCAACATTTTTTTTTTTTTAAAGAGCGTGGTTTCGGTTTTCGAACAGCCTTCTGGAACGGATTATGGACCAAAATCAAGGTTTGACTGTACTTGCAAAGCCCAAAATAGCAACGATATCCCTCCACGATCCGATGCCGCGCGTGTTTTGGGGATGTGAACTCGTCGCGGGAAGGCCGGAGACCGGAAT